CTGACTCGAGTTGCAAGATTGGCTAAGAGAATTGGGCGTCCCCATAAGTCGAGGAGATTCACTCCACCCGGCAACACGACACGCACGGCATACACGACACGCACGACAACACGACATGCACATGAAAACAGGTATATTTTAGTTGACGTGATTCACTCAAATCGACTTTGAAAACCAAGTTAACGCAAGTAAAGTTCGAGTAAAGGAGAGCGAGTGCGATAAAGTACACACTCGTTTCATCAAGTGATATTCACGTATATAAGCAGGAAAATCAAGTAAACACGACAAGTCATGCACTTGACACTCACCAAGTAAAACGAGAAGAAAAAGGCACTCGAAATTTAAGCGTCCACCGTGGGATCCTCTTGAGAGTCCTCGTGTGCGCCTGAGCAAATAATAGTGAAGCATCACTCATATATCCCAATTATCAAGTAAGATTGTACACTGGTACAATCTAAGAAAATTTCATGAAAACGGACCTCAATTACTCGTAAATCGAGGTTCAATTAGAGTTTCTTAAAGTACAGGAGCATTTGGGTTTTTATCTAGGAAATCGAGGTTAAAACGTTTGCATAATGTCGAAAGAATAAAGAGTTCTTGGAAAACTCTATTTCCTTGAAAGTTGGAAATTTTCAGTTTTGATATGGATCTTTGAAAAATCGTATCTCACTCGATACAAGTCTAAAATTGGAAAACTTTCTACCGTTGGAAACCTCTTGGAAAGTGCTAAAAGTTCTTAGAAGACATATTTTCATGAATCTAAGTGGAAGGTATTCAAAAATGAGTTTGAAATCACTGTTCCAGAATGTTCAGGATTGAGCTGGGGTTGGTTTTTCGCTAACTTTGGAAATTCGGCAGAATTCACTCTTTATAAACCAGCCCTTGAAATTTATAAATCAATTAGAGGTGCAAGTAAGATTAGGACAGAACAAGCGGATCGAGAATCGGAGTTTCGAGCACCAAGATATGGTAGCTCAAAGTTGGGGAAAATTCAAGACTGGAGAAGAATTTCCAGATTTGAACTTCCAACATTGGAAGTTTAGTTAGGTATCGAAACGAACTTGGATTGGTATCAAAATTGACAGTATTTTACTCTTATATGAAGGGTATCTCTCTATCAAATTTCACAGAAAAATAACTTCGGGAAGGTAGTCAACGAACCAACTAAAATTTGGAAAAATTGTTAAGGCAATCTGCCTTTAATCCTTTTCTTTCCAAATCCAATCGTTTGGCTAAGAAAATCCTCCAATCATGGTTCATATGTGAAAGGAAAGTCTAAGGAACATTCATGGTACATTTGGTAGGTGTTTAACACCAAGAATTTCATTTAGTAAGACCACAAGAAGTCTCATCTCAAATCTGTCCAAAACTAGGTTTTTTCAAAACAGAGCAGTGTTCTTGTTTTGATCACAACTCAGTCGACTTAACTCGGAATTGAGCATGGTTTATGGCGTTGGAAAATACATTCATAGAGATAAAAATTCACAGAAGAAAACGTTTTGAAATTTGGCAAAAAACCAGGTCGAAATTGAGCCTCAAGTTGCTGCCTCTACAAATCATTCCAGCAGAACAGACAAACAGGACAGCTATCTTAAAACGAATGGTTCGGCTCCCACACATGGAACCAGAACGTGCATTTTATACCGTTGGAAAGGTATGGATGTCTAGTTTTCAAATGCCACTGACGGCACTCGATTTCGACGTCGGAGGACAAAGTTATGGTTGAAATGCTACCGCTGGACAGGGTTATCCGAAAACAGTTTTCCAGATTGATTAGTTCACAAATAAATTCATTTGCCCAACCAAACGTTAATGTTTTCCAATGAAATTTTTTACACATCTAATACAACATATAAACATCATATTCAAGCTATTAGATCATAAAAAATTGGCCTTAAAATAACCGAACAAGGCAGGGGCAAAATCGGAAATTTCTATCCCATGAGTTCCTTGAAGTTTCTACTAATAATACACCATTAATCCACCATTTTAAACACTGAACCAGCATTATATCCAACATCAATCATTTCATCAGCCATCAAGCCAAGGGTGGAAGTTCATAGAGCCCACCATCAAAATTTTCCAACAATACAAGTTACCCATGTAAAGATTCAAGCTCATATGTGTTATTTAACCTCCATAGGACAAGTTTAGAGTGTTGGATCATTACCTACTTTGGTGGTTGTTCAAGTCAGAATTTTCGACCCTTTGAAGCCTGAGGAAAATCGTGGAGAGCTCCTTTCTTTTGCAGCTAGATGGACTTCCCAAGTGTTGAGCTAAGTGGTGCTAAAATTTGAGAGGATTTGGTAGTGATTTGAGCAAGATTTTGGAGTGAAAAGTTGAAGAACTTTAGTTGTTTCTTTGCAGCTTGATGGCCGGCCAAGAGAGCTAGGAGAAAGAGAGGTTTGGTCTGACTTTTTGGCTTACGGAGGAAGCTTAAGGATTAAGAGTTTAGATGCGCAAAAGTCAACTGCAAATAGTGCGCATACGCGCTTGTTTTGTGCTCGATTCCTTTTGAGTTTATTTCGCCAGTGCACTAAACCTCGAAGGCACTTATATTCATATAAATATTATTCACTCTTAATTGTCCCAAATTAATGGTCTAAAGTCCCTCAATTAAGCGCGCGCGTGAAAACGCGTATTTCCAATTTAGGCGCGATAAAGTGAAACCTTCGAGAAATTCTTATAACGATCGTACCACCAACTATCACTTGAGTACTTAAACCTAAATTTACCTATTTTAAGAACATTGTACATGTCTCCAATTTTCCGAGTTTAATGTACTCTTAATTGGCTAAAATTTCTCAAACACGTTTTCACTATTTTCATTAATCGAACTTCCAAAAATTAATTTTTTGAAACGAGTCACTTTAAAAACATAATGAAGCCATAATTCCATGTATTTAAGTCTAATAAGGTTAGAAAATAATATTCGAGGTAATTGGCCAAATAAATAATTAAATGAGCTCGAAATAAGAATTTGAATAAGAAAATTTTGTGAGTCCTCACAGGCTGTCCATCTAAGTTTTGGAGGTAAAGAGGAGAACTTTGCTAGAAATCCACCCTTATCTTTGAGTTTCTTTGATATATGATGTTAGAGAAGCTAAAGGAAGAATTTGTATGGTAGATTTCAAGATTTTCAGGTTGTGTTGTGATTTTTCAGCATTGTTTTGTGAGATTTAAGAGGAAAACTTGATAGCCACCGTATCTTTTCACTTGTCTTTGTATCTACTTGATGGATGATACTTTTATAAGGTAAAAGGCATGGCTTTTATGATAGCTATCATGGTATTGTTAGGTTTGGTGAAATTTCCAGTCTTGATGTAATTACTTGAAACTCCATATATACATGGAGTTGTGATGGTTCAATGCTATGTATATGCTTGATTTAGTGAGTTGGTGGCCTAGTATGTATATGGTTGATTTGAGCCTATTTTGTGGTAAGAATGAAGCCTTGAAAATGGCTGAAAATTAGGGAAAATAAGGGGAAGTGCCGCTGAAAATTTTTTCCCCAGGAGACTTTGAGCAGTTTTGGGAAATCTGTTATATCTTGGTGTAGAAAAATTCAAATTGAGTTCCGTTTGTTGCATTTGCAACTAGACTCATATCTCTTTTAACCATGTAAAATTGGTTTACTTTCTATAAATACCAGCAAAATTTCAAAGTGGACTGAAAATCCAAGACTGTCATGTTTTTGCACTTAGTTGAGCAGTGAATTGAAACTGAGATTTGACTAATTTATGGGCTGAATTTTATGAAGGTGTCTTCTAGAGAGTTGTAGTCTTTTGAGTCTATTTTCTAATGGTATAAGAGTTATGATTTTTGGGCTTACAAAACTCAAGTTATGACTTTTCAAAGAGCATTACAAAAACTAGAATTTTTCTTACGAAATGACAAAAAAACTTGGAAGGGTCTTGGAAACATTTTCTGATTTTTAAACTTAACTTTCTCGATTACTTGCACTCCATTTCATACTTGGATCATGAATTTATTATGTATATGGGTTTTTTAACTTTCACATGGGACTTTCTAGCTTTGATATAACATAGTAAGCTTTGAAATGTGATTTTTAACTTGGGTGTAGGGATTTTCAGCTTTCAATCGAAATTTCCAACCTTGAATTATAATTTTCCAAGTTTAGTTTGTAAATTTCCAGCCTAGGGTTTAATTTTTCAGCTTAGATGTATTATGTTTGTATGCTAGAGATAAGTCTAAATTAGTTGGTTTTGTAGCTAGTGTAAGAACCCTTTTTTTTCTTATGAGTTGTGGAGTTGATTTGGTCTATTTTGCCATAAAGCTTAGCTTGAAAAATTGGAGGAAAAATTGAAGGAAGAACAGGGGAATTGTTGTCCATTTCATTTCTTGAAGGATAAGTGAGTAAAAGTAGACATGGAGGTGTGCTTTGTAATCAATTTGGACTTCACTTGTTTTAGGAATATTTGAGTTAACCTTGGAGGTGATATGTAAGGTGAAATTATTTTGCCAAAATTATATATTTTGCAAGGTGAAAGTAATGACTGTAGACACCAAATTTTTAATTTATTTCATTTTTACTTTTATTGATAATATCGGCTATTTTTATTTTATTTTATTTTATTATTTCTTTTTTTTTATTTAGCTTTTTTTTTTTATTTTTCAGAAAAAAAGAAAATGCCCACAAAAAATTATTTTAATCATTTTTGAGTTTCAATTTGAAGAAGAGGAAAAATGTAATTGATATTTTTGAAAGTTTTAGTTTATTTTTAATTTGCTTATAATTTGGTTTATTTATTTAAATTGATTTTGAAAAAAAATGAAAATGAAAAATGGAAAAGAAGGAAAAAGAAAATATGTGAATATGTGTAGGCTTTGCATGCGGGACAAGTGTCCCTTTTATATTTGGACAACACATCACTTAGGAGGGGGGAGAGTGAGACACTTGTAGGTTGAGGATTTGAAAACAAAGAAAAGAAAAAGGCAATGGCAAAATAAAAAGAGGAAGGCGGTTGATTAAACTGAGGGGGGACCGGAACAAAAAAAGGGGAGGAGAAGAACAAAACAGAGGAGCGGCGGTCTGAGAGCAAGAAAAAAAAACAAAAAAACAGAGCAAAAAGGGAAAATGGAGGGGGTTTCGTCGGAGAGCAAAAGAAACGAAAAGAAGGGAGCAAAAGAAACGAAAAGCTGGAAAATTGAAAGAAGGTTCGGCAGTAGAAAAATCAGAGGGGAAAGAAGAAAAAGAGACGAGGGTGGCGGCTAGAATCTTGGGAGGATTGCGGAAAAGAACACAGAAAAAGGAAGAGAAAAGAAGGCTCCACAGGTGGCGGGTTGAGCAAATTGGAGGGCAGAAGAAAGCAAGGGGCGGCTGAGATTTTGGGGTTGAAAAATAGGTTTGAGGGCCGAGAGAAAGGGAGCTTCGGTCAAGGAGAGAACGAGAAACAGAGGCTCGGGGGTGGAAAGAAAAGAAAATAGCAACGGAAAAGGAGAGGTTCGAATGGCCGAGAGTAGGAAAGAGTGAGAGGGAAAAGCAAAAAGGGGGGACTTCGAGTAAAGCAGAAAAACAGAGAGGGAGTCTTCGGCAAGAACAGAGGAAAAATCTGAAAATTGGGGAAGTTCCTCGGGTAGAGAGAAATGAGCGAGAGAGAGTGAAAACAGGAAAGAAATGGCAACGGATGAAGAGGTCCTGGGCTGAGGGAAGGAGGTTTTTTTTTTGGGCAAAACAAAAAGAGAAAGTCAGAGAGAGACGGACGAAGAGGGAGAAAGGAAATCTGGAAAATGGAAGGGAGCTTCTGTGAGAGCAAAACGGAGGCGAGGAAAAGCTAAGAGAGGCGGACGGGCAAGGAAAAACTGGAGAAAGGAATACCGCCGCCGCTCATAGCCGCCGCCACTTCACCGACCCGCCATCATCACCGGCCAATTTTCATCGAACAAGAGCACGGTAAGCTGTCCTTTCTTCTTTAAAACTTCAGTTTTGTTCAAGCTCTCGAAACAGGCTGCCGTGACTATGTTGGTTGCAATTTTCCTGTTGTTTATTCATGATTTTTGAATACGCATGTTGTATGTGTTAATTGGACTGTTTTCTGTGTTGCTGGCAAATTTTGGGGATGAAAATAACCTTAATTGAGCAAAAAAAAGTCGGTGAAATTTTATTGCCTATTTGTTGTTCGACGAAATGCCTAACCGAAAGTCCTGTTTGAAGATGATCTTTGCTTGCGTTTTGCGCGAAAGAAAAAGGAACAGTCAGCTAGTTCAGTGTCTGTCAAAACATAAAATCTGATTTTTCATGATAGAAGGGATGGTTTTGATCCTGAGGGGCTTGTGCGCGACACCTTTTTCTGTTTTGCCGTTTCACATTTTCCCCCCTTTTGTGTGAATCTAAGTTAATGCTAGGAGAGGGGTTTTGTTTGCTTGAGCCAAACTGAATTTGTTTCATGTGGTTCCTTGGGGGGGGGAGGGAGTTACAGAAGAAAGAATGCAGAAGAAAACTGCAAGAGCTTCGAGCAGGATGCATGATAATTTCTGAGATTTTTATTTTATTTTATTATTTTTAACCCCCCAACTTTTGTCTAATCGCATTATGGCCCAGAATCTTCTGTAATTGAACCATTCAGGTCCCTTATTTGAGTGCACTTAACCCTTTAGTTTGTATATAATACTCTTGTAGCCCAAAATCTGGAAAAATCGCACTAATTTCGCCCTCTTAAGTTTAATCCTATGTTTGCATATTTTATATGACTTTGTGGATAGATTAATTCTTGATTTTGGGTCATGATTGTGGCTTAATAATTTTAGTTGATTTGTTTATCTTGTTGGGTTTAGTGAAACAAGTGTTTTGGATTAAGAGGTTATTTTGTTTGGGCTTAAGGAAGTGATTTAGTTTATTTTGTTGAATTTTTGACTTGGGCTTAGGAAGATAGAGCCCAACATTTTTTGTTAGGTTTTTAAGGATTGAGTTTGTGATTAATTTAGTTGGATTCAATTCGTAAGAACAATTAGGCTAGCCCATCTGTTTTGCTTGGATTTCGATTGGGCTAGGGAAGGTTTTGGCCCAAACAAATAAATAAAATGGCCCAATGGCCTGTTTTCTAAGAATCTGGTAACTAGATTTGCAAATCAGTCCTTGGATTTCTCCTTAACTATATTGTTGCCCTGGACATTTTCAATTTCTTTCATTTAGGTCCCAGTTTTAATTGCAAATAGGTCCTTAAACTTTATTTTCTTTTATTTTTTGACCCCAAAACTTTGTTAATATTTACAATCAAGTCCTTTATTCTTTTGACTTCTTGAATGTGGGTTGTTTATATGATTTAATTGATTCAATTTCACGATTCATTTTTTTTTTTTATCTTTTGTGATTATTCGTTAATTAAAATGATGCCTTGACCTTTTCTTTGTATTTTGGAGGGCAAATAAGTGATTTCATTTCATTAGGGTCACGATTCAAGGGAGCTACACTCTATCCCTTATTTTCACTTTATCTGACTCAATGTGCTCTTATGTGACTTTACGTGTGTAATTGCATGCCTCTTGAGTGTTTTATTTGTTTTATTAGCTTTAATTTTGTATATTTATTTTAGTTCAATTTTGATCATTCGAAAGGCACTTGAATGCCAGATTTGTAATAGTTAGGTATTTATTTCAATTATTATTTCATTTCCCCTCTTAGATTGTAGTAGGCCCCCCTCAAGTGTCAAGTGTAATAGTTAGGGCTTCTTTGCTTTATTTGCTTGATGTGATTTGCATGCTTACTTGTTATGTGTTATCCGCTTTCTTAGGGCCTTGCATCTAGATATTATGATTATGTGTTATGTGTTTATGTGATTTATGTGATTTATGTGTTTATTTACTTTATTATGATTTATCTGATTTACTAGACTGTAATAAATGCATGTTATCACACTAGTCCAATGCTAGCTGTGATTCCTTTCCCGTCACCACACTAGTCCAACGCTAGTTGTGGCTCTTTGTTCCGATTTTCCACTAGTCCAATGCTAGTGAGGATCCATAGACATGGGCTAGTCCAATGCTAGACCCTTAGGGACCTCCCTCGCTAGATCATGTTTGTATGATTATATTACACTTCATGCATATTTTTCCATTTTTTTAGGATCTTTATCATTTTCACATAATATTTTCCCTAATAAAATATCCCTTACCCCTATGCATATATAACACTTAGATTTGCATCTCATTTAGGAAATTAGGGGATAGATTAGTGCATTTGTTTGATTAGATTAGGGAATAGCCCCTTATATGGACGAGTTTGGCTTTTCTAGCCTTAGCACGCTCGTATTCCCTCTATTAAAAGGGAAAATTGAGTCACGAACATTAGTCCCCCGTACCCGACATGATGCATTCCTTTAAGACATGTATATTTGTATAATTATTTTATTTCTTTTCTTTTCTTAGAATCTCATATTTTTTGCATTATTCATGACTTCTCCAAACGGTAATTATTGGGCATCACAATTAATGTGATTGGCACCGTTCAAATTTTGAAGAGAAATTTTGCCCCCCAATGCCCCCCCTAGGTCTAGGGTTTGCATTCATATAGTACATCCAAATGTGATGAATCTTAAGGTTAAAACGAGAAAATCTTTGACTAAATCACGCAACTAGCCTTGGCTAGGTCGAAGGGGTGCCTTGGATTTTTATCCTTGCCTTCCCCTTCGTCAAATGTGACTCCCGAACCTTTTTTGTTGGTTTACGTAGACTAAGAGTCGTTTAAAAGGGGTTTCTTTCTACCTTTTCCTTTAAAAAAAATTCATTTTAGGTGACTTGGTACACCTTAACTCTATACCAAGTGGCGACTCCGATTTTTATTTTAAAAACCCTTTTTAAACTATATTTTGGGTCAAATCGTCGCATTTTCAAGTCCCATTTAGGCCCATTTCATTTTCTTTACCCATTTTCTATTTAAATCAAAAATTTATTTTTTTAAATCAAAATTCACTTTTCTAAACTCGTTATTTATTTTTCTTCTAAAAAATGGGGCGCGACAATGACCATTTTAAAACATGATTTTTTGTTGCATATGTCATGTTTTAAACTTAAAAGTTTCGATCGTTTTCTTTCTAAAACAAAGGCAAGCATGCATGTATTTTGCCTGGAGTTAGTAAGTCATGAAATCTATGTATATAAGTTCTATTCACATGATCTCCTTGTGATATTCACAAGTAAGGGTTGGATATTTCGAAACCCTACTTGATTGTATTTTATTATTCAATATTTGATCGTAAATTTAAAATCCGTCCAAGGATTTAGAATCCGGGCAAGGAGCTATGTCTCAACCTGATTTTTGTAAACACTAATTGTTGGTGAGTGTTTCTTGCATGCGTATGCTTTAAATGACTATGTGGAATGTTGTGAATGTTGTCTAAATGTCAAATGCTTTTCAATTATTGCTAAATAGATTTTCAATGGGCGAGTGTGTATTTTATCGCACTTGACCCACGCAAAAGTAAATTTTCAATGATTGAATGCTACTTGTGCATGAATGTAAGCCTTTTGGCTAAACTGGACCATTGCCTTTCATTGCCAGTCGACTCGAGCCAGAAGCTGACTCCGTCGGGCGGCTTATAACCCTAGGATAATGTTTGGTATACTCGAGTATTACCACGAAGTCTGGTGGAGAACTAGCCAGTGAATTCAATGCAATAAAAATAAATGAATGAATGACATGAACACTGAAGGAATTTTCACTTGCAAATATTTTCTAATGTCGGAGGGATAAGGAAAATGATTAGCGAATGAATGAATGAATGGCTCCAAATGAGCACGTATCCTTTTAATGAATGAATTATTGATTCTTGAACTACTTCTTATTACTGTGCCAAGTGTGTAAAGTGCAAAATATAAATGTTTCCATGTATGCCTACTAGGTTGCTTATTTGGGAACCTCACTGAGATTTTAGCTCATTCCATTAGTTGATTTTCCTTATAGGGGTGGAGCTCGGAGCAAGTAGGCGTGAACTAGTGTATATAATCTCTTGTACTTGTACTTTTGTAGATAAGATGTATTTGGAATCTTTAAAATGTAATCCTATGTTTTACTTTTGGATTGTAAATTAAGTTTGAATTGTTGGTTGGAAATGGAACTTTTATGTTAATTTCGAGGCTTGAAAGGCTATTTCAAGAACATTAGTGAGTGAATTCTGGCGAGAGTTAAGCAGGCGGTCCACCAAACCTTGGGTACGCCCTAAGAGGAGGTGGGGTCGTGACACCAACTCTGGAAACAAGGAATACAAGCTCGACTCATATAATATCTTATAATAAATCAAGAGTTCACCTACAAACAAAATGATTTTGAAAACATGATATGGGCTAATGATAGATACATATATGGAAACTTCTAAATATCACGAGACATGCCATATTTTAGCTTGTGTATGTCATATAAGACCTATATAATTTAGCTTAGGATTTTCCATAATAAAATAAATAGTTTTTTTTAAAGGAAACGTTTTATTCATAGTAACCAAATATTACACACCCTAGTGAGAGCTGTCATCATACACTAAAACACGGGTCTACCACTCCTGATATGAATAGAAGGCATATCTAGTCTATCCATCCTAGCTTCCCTTCTAGCCATTGAGGGTAGCTCCGCTAGCGTGTCATAAGTGCGAATAGGCTCAAGATGATAGGCCACCCCCATATTGACTAAAACATCTGCCACCCTATGCGATTCGCGATAGCAATGCACGAAGCGAGAGCCCTCTGCCACCGACTGTCATATGCGCTCCACTGTTCTTCGTATCTACCAAAGACACCGGAACCGATGCTGTAGGATACCAATTAGAATAGAGGAATCTAATTGTAAAAAGAATCAATCAAATCCCCTCTCAATGCACAGGTTAATACCTAATAGCGCTGCCCGAGCTTCTACGCACAGACTAGTTGACTCACCTAGGTAAGCTGAGTACGCAAAAATGAGCCCTCCACTAGAATCCCTTAGGGCACCACCTCCTCCACACACTCCTGGATTCACTTTAGAGCATCCATCTGTATTTAGCATTAGCTCCCCGCCCACGGAAGCAATCCACCGCAGGAAATGGAAACTATACATTGGGCATGACTGTGAGATTTGGTCACAAAACTGATGGAACGTGTGCCCATCGACTTGCTGTGCGAAGTGAATCTCAAATGTTGTCTTCATATCCTGAAAAAGGCCCAGTAGATGTCCTTACTACGTATTCTGTTGCCTTCAAAAATTGCATTATTCCTTGCCTTCCAGATATTCCAACAAATGAAACTCGGCAAGATTTGAAGTACAAACCGCCTCTTGCGCGATAACTGAGGTGATGCCATCCACCACGATACCAGCCATGTGCATATGTGTTCACCTGGTAACATTAACCCGCAAACATAGTTAAAATGAGTCCATACCTCCATGGCAATTGTCCTCCTCGAGAAGACGTGATCCAAAGACTCCTCCCCCGCAACTTCGCAACAGCAGCACTTGGACGGTAACTGAAAGCCCATTCCCTTTAGGACATCATCGAGGGGCAGCCTACGCAGTAGCAAGCATAACATGAAAAAGGAGACTTTTAAGGGGATCCGAGCATGCCACATTTGTGTGAATACCACTGATTTGGGACGAATCTGGCGCACCTCCTGGTATGTCGAAGCCAAGGAAAAGACTTGGGACTTTGATGGTGCCCAAACCATTTCATCCATCCTCCCTTCTGTCTGCACTATCATTCGCATCACCAGGGTGAACACCTTCGGGGGAAGCTCCTGGCCAGCCGCTGTCTATCCCATCTACCACCGAGGATGAAGTCTGCAAAAGTTAAATGCGGAATCCCAGGCATCTTCAGAAACAGAGCTCCATTCCCTAGCCAGTTATCGTACCAAAAGCTACACGCCCCATTTTTTGCCAACCACACTATCGACAGCTCAGCCTGTCGACTAACATTCAACATACGTTTCCAGGTTGGTAAATCAGACGGCCTGATCTCTGTCTGGCATAGATAGATGCCACGACAATACTTTGCGAGCATAAAAGTCGCCCAGAGCGAGGTTCCCACGCTAAAATTCCACCAAAGCTTGCACGAAAAGGCTGTGTACATGTCCCTTATTCCTTGCAAACCAATGCCTCCTTCTTCTTCCAAGTAGCACAACATCAACCAAGGCTGTGTACATGTCCCTTATTCTTTGCAAACCAATGCCTCCTTTATTTTTTGTTTTAAGACATTGTTTTGTTTTAAAGATTAGAAACCCTAAATTCTAATCAAAAGAAAAAAAAACCCTAGTTTACTTGTGACTAACCGGTTTTCTTAAATCTCTTATATTTTAATCGAAACACCAATTGTAACCAATGGAATTGTAAAATTCCTCACATTTTTCTTAAAATTCCTTTTATTTGGCATTTATTCCTTTCTAATAGCTTTACTACCCATTCACACCTTCAGTAATTGTAATCAACCATAGAATCAAGGGTTTTCCCTGTAGGTTCTTAGTTTGGGTAAATCAGGGTTTTTTACGTATTTTGACCGTGTGATCATTTGATGAGATGTGTGCACTAAATTCGGTGATTAAGGATGAGTTTAAATGATATTAAGTGTGTGAATAGAGGTGATAATAATAAGTTATTGAATTATAAGTTAAAATCCTAGTATACACGATTTAAGAAAACATGGGTTGAACCGACGGGTACCGTTTGTTACCGAGTGAGTGCACCACTTGAACACTACTTTATTACCTCAATCTCCTTCCTTTTATTTCAGCAAAAATCATCGCAAAATACCTTTCAAGGCAGCCGAAATTCTTGACCCCAAAAGAAAGAGAAAAGAAAAAAAAATTGTGAGAACCTAAGTGTGACAAATGTTGGCCATTTAAGACCCTTTGACCAAGCCTTGTTATCTTCATTTTAGCTCATTTCTTCACCAATTTTTTCTTGTTTGGTCGAGATCAAGGAGAGGGAGAAAGAGTGAAGAGAGTTTCTATTTTCCAACCTCAAATCAAGAGTTGTGAGTGAAACCAAGAAAAACTAAACCGATTAACTTGTAGGTTGAGAGCTTGGGAGGGTTAAGGAACCAAAAATTTCAAGGAGAAGTGGAGGATAACTCTAGCAAACTTTGTTTTGAGGTAATATGGCTGACCACTCTTTTCTTTTTCCTTAATCATGTTGAAGTTGCTTAGTAGCTTGTATTTGTGGTTGTAATGCTTATATCAAGTGATTTTGGATGATTGGGGTGATGAATTTGAGTTAGGGTTTGAATGATTCACTTATCATACTTGTTGTATGGGTGGTATATGATGTATATAAATTGATATAAGAGGTGGTAGTGATGGTTTCAAGCTAAAAATGATATTTATACCTTGATTGTAACAAATTTCCAGAATTGAAGTTAAGGTATACCCTGTTCTGCATGGTTCTAGTTCACCATGTTAGAGGCCGAATTAGGCTTAGCCTAAAACATAAAAGTTGTAGAAAATGATGTTTTATAGTTTTCTACAAAATTTCAGCTCAATCTGAGCATTGTCTCATGTGAAAAAACAAAAATACCACTGACTACCATAGGTAGAGCTCTGTGGACGATTTTGACATTTCACCAATCTGACGGCATTTGTTTACCCTGATCCGTACTGAATTAGCATTTGGCCAAAACATAGAAATTGTAGTACTATGTCTTAGCTTTCCAACGCCCCTGAAAACACCTTAATCGGACTTTGATAGCCTAAGTTATTGTCATTTACGCATAGTGCGGTTAACTAGCCCGAATGTGAGATTCTGATTCTGTCATTTGAAATTTTGACTTGGATACACTATGAACTGGACTGAGTGGTCTTCATCAAAGTTGTAGGCCTTTGTCTTAGTTTCGAAACGGTATAAATTATACCCCAATCTGATAAGCGTATCTTCGGTTGTGCCCGTTACGCTAAGTGGCGGCAAATCCGTCTTTTGTCTTATGCCTTAAACTTCATTTCCGGACATTTTCCTAGTTTGATTTTGTACTTGTATGATTTTGAGCCTATGGAACGGCTATTGAAATGAAATAATTTTGTGTGTGACTATGGGATTGATTGAGGAAAAGAATGAAACCATAAATGGCTAAAAAATAAGTAAATACAAAGGGCGTGCTGCCCAAATTTGCACTCGAGAACTAGGTAAGGATTTGAGCACGAATACCACTTGAACCATCTAGGATATTTACATCTTCTCTTATCAAGATATATGAGTTAGATTTCGGCCGAAATTTGTATCCTTGGAAAAATGAAAGTAACGACTAATAGAAATACATTTTCTCCATTTTTTCGACTCAAATGGTATTTTAAAGTATAATTGATTCAAAATTTCAAAGTTTTTAAGAGCGAGCATGACCTTTTCGGAATTTGATCAGTAACTTGAATACTACTTAAGCGAATTGCATTTACTTGATTTTATTGAAGCGAAACTCCTATGTTTCGAACTCTCGAGAGTTTTACATTCGCAAATGATATTTTATCGCAGATTTAGACTCCAATCAAGGAGTTGGACCTGAACGTGACTTTTGAGAGGCACTAAACCTTTGGTGAGTACTTCCAAATACCTGATTGAACTGAACACTGTTTTCAATACTTGATCAATGTGATTTAATGATATGTAATTTGTTGATCGGGCAAGAGTGTACTTTATCGCACTTGCCTTAATATGATATATACTTGTTTATTGTTGCAATTGATTTGATATACTTGTACTTGAGTTGTACGTGTGGAGCGACAGTATGTACCACACTCAATCCGAGTGGGAGGTGCCTCTCATTCCCATCTCCGTACTTTTATCTTGATTCAGTCAATTGGAGTGTTATCTCATCGACTTTCTTGGGGACCCAAACACTGCTGCCTAGTTAATCGAGTCGAGCCGGCAAGGACTTGATCGATTAAATAACGAACCATAGGTAGTTAGTGATGTCAAGTGGAATGTTATCTCCTCGACTAATCGGTATACTCGAGTATTACCACCAATGTTGATTGAGGATTTTGGGCCCAGTAAGGGGTGTGAATGGTGGACGGAGAGTAAAGTAAGTGGTGCTCTACTAGATTGGTTACTAACTTGAAGGTTGACGGAGTGTCAACTATTACTTGATCAAACTCTAGTGATGCAATGGGAATTTGGCTCCT